AAAAATGCAATTGAATTTCGTTCACTATTACTTGTGGCCAACATTACCAACATTAACATTACGTATAAAGCCATCAACATGCTCGGGTCCATTAATAAATTTAGTTTGCACTTCAATGATCCTTATACAATATTACCGGCGGGTAACATTGTTTTCATATGTTTAGCACACGGGATATCGCTATATTTATATTAGGGAGATTATTTAATCGGCAACGGTCAATTTTAATTCGTTGGCGGGTGGCATAAATGGTCAGACGATCGAACAGCTAAACGATGAGTGCAGGTGGGTGGTGGCAATATCCACTGAACTCGAAGAGAGTGTGGGCGGAAACTCTCCCTGGAGAGAGTGACGGAGCTCACGATGGAGGAGAGTGAGCAGATAACGGAGGCTGAGGAAGTATAGAGCCAACCACCGAAGTCGCAAGACGTGCGCTCGTGTGTCGTCCCGCGGGCAGTCACTGCTAGTGCTTGAGAGAAATCGCGAACTGTGGGAAAGTGACGATCACCCGGCTATCAGTGACCACGTGCATAGTGATAAGCCGTACCATTGCGGGATCACCACACGTACCGTCCAATCGAACCCCGGTCATAATCCGTCCACCGACGGGCTGCAACTCAGCCGCCACCCGGCCACCGCCCAGACGCCTTCCAGCTGCTCTAAGTAACCGGCCATCTGGCCGTAACTCGGTTCATCCAGCCGCACTCACTCGCCCCCTCGACCAAACTCGCTTCCCTCCGGCCACCAACCCGGCCGCAACTCGGTCTTCATCCGGCCGCACTCAGCCGCCCCCTCCGACCGAGCTCGCCTTCATCCGGCAGTATACCCGGCCGTCGTACGAGCGCCATCCGGCTGCTACCGGCGACCATCCGGTCACTACCCGGATACCACCCGGCCACCACCTGGTCGCCTACCGGACGCCATCCTACTGCCACTCGACAATCACCCGATCGCTACCCGTCACCACCAAAGCCCAGTCAGGTTTGTTTGCCATCAATAAATCATTTAACCGTTGATCGTAGCGTTTGATAGGATCCCTTGTCCGAAAACTCTCCCACGCTCGTACACCTTGAGACCCGGAACTATCAGAGGCCGTGAGTGCCCACCCCGGGAGCTGTCGTAGGCTTAGACCGGCAGCTTCGGGCTTTGGCAGGTCCTTCTCCAGGTCCTAGCGGTTCCGGGGCCTAAAAAAGTCTTATAACAATCAAAACACTTTATGTGGCATATGGGAGGCCTCTTCCCGAATATTGGGCTTCATATCAGTTCAAAAGCATTTCTTGTTGATTGCGCTTAAAAAGTTGGGATGGACGAGTTTTCCGCGTCCATCTTATGAATCGCTTTGTATGCCTTTTAATTTAGATGAGCTCAAAAAGCGAAGATAGTTCGCAACGATTACTTTCAATGTAATTTCGCAAAGAGTTAACAGCCCACAGATTTTGAAAAATATCAATGTTTATGCTCCCTCTCGCTCACTGCGGAATGGAAATTTGTTTAGCATTAATAATCAAAGAACAGACTATTCCAAAAACAGCCCATTGAATAGAATGATGTCTTGCTATAATACATATTGTGACATAACGATGAATAAAAGAACACTTTCTGCACGAGGTTAGCTAGGCATCAATAATAAAATAAAGATGTTATGCAAGTACTGGGAGTAAAATTGTTACAACTAGGGTTTTAGTAAGAATTGTACAACGGTCTACACTGATTGACAACTAATAAATAAATAAATAAGTATCGAAGTGCTGATCAACACGGCTTCACATCCGGTCGTTTATGTGCCATACATTTATTCAAAACGTTTACCAAACGTTTGATTTATTTATTCAGTCTGTATTATTTTCTTGAAAAGGCAATCCAATTTCCTACAACTTTGTCTCAGTTGTCATTTCGATGCGATGAGACATTTTCGTGCTGTGATTTATTGAAAATATCAATCCTTTAAATTTGTCTAGCCTCTTAAAGGAATCCCTTTATGAAGAGCTTCGAGTGGGTTAGTTTATTTCCTTTAAATTTCGTTATAATGGCTTATCTTTTGACAGATACGCGTATTTCGTCTATTACTTGTAGACTTCATCAGTGCCAAGTACTCAACACCACTGTGCACACACTCAACTCTATACTTTCATCTCCTCATCTATCGTATAAAAATTACCACTTTAGTCTGTTATTTGAAATTAGCATCTTCAACTATACTTTTTGGTGTTTAAAAAAATAATTGTACGAATTCATGACCGTTCAATTTTGAGATTATGTTTATCCAACGTACAGATTGTGCATGGTAATTGTTTTAAGGAAACATATTGACATCACGAAGAGAAACAGCTAGTTAGATGAAAGATCCAATAGAACAGCGTCACCCAAATTTCAGAAGCTTGTCATTTAAATTGTGTGAAATTTTGTAGAACTATGGGACACTAGTTTGTCCAAAAGCCTTGAAAAGTTCATAAATACTGATTGGTAAAGAAATACAACTTTTTCAGTGAAGGTATGATTTAAGTTGGTTCTGTTGTTCCGACACGAACTGTATATGAGATTTAGAATGGGAAATCATTCTTGGAGGTTGCACTTTATGTGGTTGAAATTTGAAGTGAATATTTGATATAAAAACCAAATTTAGTGTAACAAACATGGCCCGCAATATTGCCTATTGTCAACCGTATGGGATCCCTATAGTGATGCCAGCACCCTGGTTTTGAATCGCATGTTTAATGTTTATGACTTTATCAGAAGCATGCCTGGCATATACTGTTTTGCACAAAAAATGTTGCGATTATCAACAACTTAATAGCAAGTTGACGAAACATAGGTTTGCTTGGCGGATGCTCCATAGCATAGAGTATGAGGTTACTATAGAAACTTAAAAAAATACAACATTTGCATTTAGGCTAAGAGCTGTTCTCAATTTAACATCATAAAACGAAGTAAGAATCTAGGACTTTCAATAACAAAAATCATTGATAGAATCTAAATACAAACAGGTTCTTTGAGAATCAGTTACAAACCAAATGAAACCGATAACTTCCGAATCTGTTTCAGCTATGTCCGAGGAAAATGTGGGAGTAACACATTTCCTTAGCGAAATGTCACTTTTTTTAATATTGAGCCCATACATGAATTTCGAAGGAAAGATTTTTTTACCATTTTTCAATAATATCCATTCGTATTGTCCAGATGACGTATGCTCCAAGAAAAATTGAAGAATATGATATTTTAATCGATGTGACCAATATTTAGATCCATAGGCCAACATTAGTGCCATTTCCCCTATATCTAGAACCAAATGTCTTTTGGAATAACATTCAAAAAGTTTCTAAACTTACAAACAATATGGAACTGGTTGCACTCAAATTGGTCGAGAAAAGTGGTATTTTAATAAAGTTGCATAGCGCTGTTTCATTTTTTGATCATGTATCCGGAACCAAACATCCAAAACATGACGATAAACTAGGGAGCCAGAGGATAGAAATGTCACTTTCAGAGTTTTACCCGATATGTCCCAGGTACCCCCAGAAATAGACAAAACATCCATTATGATATTTTCTATAACACAATAAACAGTGATATCATGATTTTGGTAACATGGCACCACCAAGCTCTTTAATCACATAATACACAACACTGTCTAATCCAACTTATTTCCCTTTATTATTTTGATTCTACGATTCTTGCTTGATGACTTATGAATTTAAAAAAGGTAATTTTCCAGGAAAACTGGCCACCACAATCTATTTGAATTACATAACACCACACATTCTACCCGTGGACAAAATTTCATAAATTTCTGATACCGATAATATGAAGAAAAAAATAATGCCTAACATATTAATTAAAAAATATGTATAAAATAAACATGAGTTGATCTATTGGAACTAGCCTATCGCATGACAAAAAGACAGGTTAATCAAGTAATGATATTTCCGTATTCATGGAACACACTATCAACGTGAGAACCGTGACTATTTCATTCATTTCACAAATTTACCTATACGCGCTCAATTCCGAATTGACCTACACCTATCTATTCCGACCAGAATAGGTACCGAACAAATGAGTCTCCATCGCTGCCACCACCGTGTGGCACAAAAGAAACCTAAGATCGATCTAACCTGTTGACCTTAGAAAGCACCACTTTTTGTCATGCCCTATTGACTGATTCAGGTTTTTCGGTTCACCTCAACCTCCAAAACCGTGCACAACTCCACGACTGTGACTTTCTGGTGCACGGAAACCAATAAATGCAATGAGCAAGAAAAAAAACTGAACCCTGAAGGCGGAGAACACGATTCTACACACGACACATGACATTAAATCGGTTCCATTCATGAATAGCATTGCCTCCCCGAACGGAAAACGATTTGGGAGCCGGACTAGTAAAAAACTTCGCACAATTTTTGTTTCTCTATTAATCAATCAACTGGGATGGATAGTTATTTTAGGACATAGTTGAATCGTGATCATCATCATCACAAACTTTGTCAACTCTAAACAAAACTTGTCGATTTTATGCGGGGCATCGGAAAGAGGCCATAAAAACAAACACCTACCCCAAGATCATCGCCTGAGGCTGCGGGGTTGAACAGCTTCAAGCTTACTTCAGGCCTGCCCAACCTTTCTAAACTTGCTTTTTTAAATGGCTGTATCATGTTCGATGACATGATTCAAGCTGCATTTTGTTTATTTCTCATTCATTCTGGCCCAAAATGCATAATGGTGAATAAAATTGGACTAGAATGATTTTATTACAGAGAACCAGAAACCAGCACGTTGGACAGCGCTGCTTTAGATCGTAAACATTTGTTCAGCCATCAAGACGCGTGCTCTCGTCGGTTACTGCGTCCCGCTGTTGTTGCTGTTGACACTGTCTACAACATGTGAATGAGTCAATAGCTGAATGAATGAAAGGTTCAACTGGCGGTTGTCAGTTGGAAAAAAAAATCCAGTCATCTAAACCGAATCTTATCACCCCTAAAACGAAGTGATCATCAAACACTCACCTGTGCCAACGTTGCGACCACTAAGCCGAAGGTGAACGCGATCTGCGTCAGGGTTGGTGCATAGTCACCACCCCAGCTCATCGTGCTACCGATACCGATCGACACCAGGAAGAAGGTGCCGAGGAACTCTGCCACCAACATGCGCCATATGTTGCGGTTCTCGGTGATGTCCGCTACACCGACGAGTTGCTTCACACCTGTTTCGGGGAATAGGATTGAAAATGAGACGGTTAGGCTAGGATTTGAACTTAAATCGTTAAAAGATTGGGATGCTTTCGTATCGAACAACTGAAATTAATGCTTTTGCTTACAACCTCTTTTGTGCCCAACTATTCATCTAATTTCAAACCATGTGCGTTCAAAAATGAAGAATAAAGCCAAAGTAAGGCTAATTAAGAATAAAGTCAAGGAGATAAATAAAATTTCTCAACTATTGAGCTAGTAAGAATTTGTCGTTAATTTCACAAATATTATAAGATTCAGTTGGAAATTTTAAAATGTCTGTGATCTTCGATTTTTTATTTAAAACATTGTTAATTCTTTTCTCAAGGTTTATATAATGGACGCAGCAGACAAGAGTTGGTCAAATAGGTGACAACAGTGGACATCGTACGACAGAAGTTTCGTCAATATTTCCATCAATAGGTTTGATGGGTCATCAATACACGTCTGTAGCGCATTAAATTTGTTAGATGGACTATTCCGAAAACATGTCTAACAAAATATACCCAAGATCAGGCCCCATCTGCAGCCGCAATCAAATATAAGAGGAAATATTGAATCACCGATTAAAACGTTTTTGATTCTGAGTCAATATATTCGTCATCAATATTTGCATCATTTTTTAATCAATAATTGCAGTAATTTCATCAATATTATTGAAAATACAATAGAGTATTTTCTTGATGGAAATCTAGACTTCTTTTACTACATCTCTTACATAAATTTCTAAAATTTAGCTCCATATCTCGATATCCTCCCCAGATCGATGGGCCCTTCAATACTGATCTAGGGAGGTTTTTGTTCGTTTGTTCCCTGCCTTATTCAGATGAGAATCCTAATGAATTTTAAGCTAGTCGAAAAAAAAAACTTTCTAGGGATAATCCTAAGGAAATCGTGTGGAAGGAGAGCTCTAAGGGGACAGTCAATCAACTACGTAAATTGATTTTAAGATATTTTAAAACCAGTCTATCTCCTTGCATTCATACATTTTTAAAATTGTATGATCGATAGACACTTCCTAATACCTGCTTCTAACCTGTCTGCGTAGTTTATGAACAGCCCCAAGTGAGTTCTAAAGAGAATTTCAATGAAGTTCCGACAAGAATTCCTTGGTAATTATGAGATGGCTTCAAGAGAATTGTAAGGAGGAAATTCATAAAGAAAACCACGAAAAAATTCAACAACATCAAATTCTAAGTTTGTAAGAAAGTTTGAACATACTGAGAGGTTAGCACATATCATCGGTCATCCGATGATATGTGCTAACCTCTCAGTATGTTTAAAAAATCTTACAAACAATTAAATTGACTGCAAGTCGCTAAACCGTAAATCAAAAAGTAAAATCAAATTCTAAGAATAGTTCTACGAAATATGTTGAGCAAATTTCAGGAGATTTCCGTACACTGAAAATTTTCTATCGTTAATTCTGTTAAGCTCGTTTCGTAAAAATGGCTTTCGTACATAAAACACATTTGCCTGTCAACTGCCACAGTTTGTACTAAAAACGAACTGAATTTCAGGCAAACCAGCAAACGCTGTTCTTCTAGTCTTTATGCTGTGATGTTTTAGGTAGGATTTTAAGGAACATATTGTATATCTTATGCTAATGGAGGGAAATCAATTTTCATTGTAGGTAATGCAGATCTTCTAACTAAATTAATTACTCAGTACCCGTTGGCATTAGAAGTCGTTGATCATCTGGAGGGCGAAAATTATGATTTTAGTTCATTTGTGATAGTAAAAAAAATGATACACGTTCGTACGAAATGGATTCGTACACTGATTACCAGAAATGCATTTTTTACTAAGACAGTTGCCTTTTGTTCTACATTCGTACAATGCACGCATTTTAAATTTTCTGTACACGAAAGATTCGTATATTTTTTTTCTATAAACATGCATTCCGCATTTATTTTACGAAACATTCGTGGCAATATGAAATAGAATCAGTAGCGAGTGTGACAATTTTATCGAAACTAAAGGGTGTCCACGATGAAATTGCCACACTATGAAATTGCTCTAACTTTTTAACCGTTGGGTAGATTTTAATGAAAATTTGGGTGGATTTAGTTCATAGTGCATTATTTACATCCTGCAAGTTTTAAAGTCCTGTGATCAAAACTCGCGGAAATGGAGTCGAAAGAACAGCTCGTGCGTGATAAAATCTTGCGCATTCATCACGAGAACAAGGATCTCTCGCATCGTTCCATCGCTAAAACGTTGGGAATCGCGAATTCCACGGTGTCGCGAGTGATTAAGCGGTTCGAGGAACGGTTGACCACCGATCGGAAGCCCAGAAGTGAAGGAAAAAGTATTCCGTACAACACCAAAAATCACAACCGCGTAGTTGGGGCCTTCAACCGAAATCCGAACGCCTCCGTTAGGGATGTGGCTAAGAAGCTGCACCTAAGCCGAAGTTTTGTCCAGAAGGCCAAAACTAAGGCTGGGCTTCGAACGTTCAAGGTACAAAAGGCCCCTAATCGTGACGAGAAGCAGAACAAGTCCGCCAAAACCCGTGCCAGGAAGTTGTACCTCAACATGCTGACGAAAGTTGAATGCTGCATCATGGACGACGAAACATATGTGAAGGCCGACTTCAAACAGATCCCCGGCAACCTGTTTTTCACGGCCAAGGATAAGTTCAGCGTTCCGGAGCATGTCCGCACTCAGAAGATGTCCAAATTTGCGAAGAAATTCCTGGTTTGGCAAGCCATCTGCAAGTGCGGGAAGCGGAGTGCACCTTTCGTGACCCAGGACACGATGAACGAACAGGTGTACATAAAAGAGTGCCTCCAGAAGCGGCTGCTTCCTCTCCTGAAGGCCCACAACGTCCCAACAATCTTCTGGCCGGATTTGGCCTCATGCCACTACTCCAAGGACGTGCTGAAGTGGTATGCGGACAATAAGGTCAATTTCGTGCCGAAAATGTTCAACCCTCCCAACACTCCGGAGCTCCGCCCCATCGAGAAGTACTGGGCGATTATGAAGCAGCACCTTCTTAAACGACCTAAGGTAGTGAAGACAGTCGAGGAACTGAAGAAAGTATGGGTTTACATGCAAAAAACGGTTGATTCACAGGTTGTGCAGAATCTTATGGCCGGGGTTAAGGCCAAGGTGCGGGCATTTGCGTATGGACTGTAAATAAAATACGAGTAAAATGGTAAAATGAAGTTTAATAGTTATTTCTCAATCCCTGAAAATTTGATGGCAATCGGATGAAAACTCGAATTTTGCGAATCAATTTTGTGTGTGGCAATTTCATCGTGGACACTCTTTAGTTTCGTTACATTGTACGAATATCTTGTGTAGCAGAAAACAACGAATGGATCCGTACAGTACAACTGACGAGCGATTTTGTTGTATAAACGAAATATTAATTTCAGTGTAGTAATCGGGAAGAAAATGCAGAGAACAATTCCAAAGTAATTCTAAGAAAAAATCAAAGTGAATTTTGCGAAGAACTGGATGGGAATTCCAGTCGAATATCAATGAAGTTTTAGAATCACACTGAGAAATTAATGAGGAGAGGTCCAAGAGCTTTCTAAGCAGAATTACATGACAATTATAAAGAGAATCACAAGATAGTTCTGAATGATATACCTAGGGAAGAGAATTAATTTAAAATAATTCGGGAAAGATGTTTAAGCGAAATATTTTTTGAAAAAATATCGAGAATTTGAAGAGCATTATAGTTTCGAATCTAAGAGTTTTCTGTAGATAATATATTGAGAATATTCTGCAATGATTCTATGTTAAAATGTCTATTTTTTTAAATAATCCTGTTAAAAGTTCCAAGGGAACCATCAAGATATGTTTGATCATGACGGATCTCCTCCTAAAGCCAATAAAATGTTGTGGATGTGCAGACTGCTGCTACTTAAGGGGGGAAAAACAAGTAAAAAAAAAAATTTATCGATTTTTTTATATTTTACTTTAAAAAAAATTTAAAAAATGCTACGAGCACGAGGAAGGAGCAATATCACCAATTAACCGTAAGTTCCAGAAACCATGTTTTACACAACCCAAAACTTTAAACGCGTTTTTTTCGAAACGGTGTTTTCCAAATTGGCGGGAAAGATAACTCAAAAAATTCTCATCCAAATGACTTGAAACCTGGCGCATCTTACTCTATGTGAACCACTGATATCATGAAAAAATTAACAATAAATAATTTTCAGTTCTGCCTAAAGTGGAAAAAACAGTGAAAAATCAACTTATTTTTTCAGATATTTTTGTTTTCTAAATTTATAAATCACTTTTTTTTTTTTTTTTTGATTTAGAGGTTTACATAGAACAAAAATCTTTTCTGAATAATAATTGATAAAAGTATGTTTTGTCCATTTTTCAGATCTCTAGAACGCCGGCCAATTACCAATCCCCACCGGAGGCGACCTCCTTCCGATGTGACCCCAAGGAGCCACAGAGGTCACACACCAATGAAAAAAATCTCAAATGTACAGGAAAATTTAAGCAATTTAATGCAAAAACCCCAAACGTTTGAGTTGTTCCATTTGCTCACAAAAAAAATTCCGAAAATCGTCGAGTTTTTGACGTTATACATTGTATTTTCCCCCTTATGCAACTTTACATACTTGTTTCCCTTGAAATATAAAACTAAATCTGGACTTTTATATATAAGAGGCCACTTGAGATATTTTTTCATGTAAAATTGTAACATAAATTTAATAAGACTTACACAAGTTCGGTCGTTGAATTATAGAGTATCGCTATATAATAAAAATGTCCAATGCATAAAAATTTAATTACTACACTGAATAGAATATCACATTATAAATTAAAAAAAAAAATCTCAGAAACCCTATCCTCTCTAACACAAAATGTTACTCATTACACTAACTTATTTATTTTATATCTCCAAGAAAATGATAAAGTTATAATTATTCCATAGTTTAATTCCTAGGAAGATCGTTGCCGTGTTAAAAAATGTCTTGACTTTCCTGACTATATAACGCCACACATGGAAAATCCGTAAACACACACAATAATTGAAGTACAGCATAGATGAAAAACACAATTTCTAAGTAAAATCCAAATTCGATATAAAATCAATCGAAAACGTAAACAAAAACATCATCGACCTGGTATATAAATTGAAACAAATCTATTTATACCGTCTCAATCAACAAACATGCAAACTTCTACCACAAACCAAAAATAGACAAACACGTGCACTATTAGATATTATCTACTAATTGTGAGTATAATTCAAACAAAACAACAACAAAAACGATATCACCAAAGCAACACCGAAATACCTTCGCCGTTCATAATACACGCATCGAATCGCACAATCAACCATTTAGGAGCCACTCATGAACACACTACCTTCTCTGAATTCAAATTTGCTAAACGTGGGAATCATGGTCCCCGATTTTTGATTTTTCCCGTTGACCGAGCTTTGTCTTCGCTCGCTCCGACTCCGTCGTCACCGACAAACTGATCACTACTATCAATGTAGGAATGTATCTTCCACTGTCTTCCACGCTTGGAAGCAACCGAAGAAAATGGAACTTAACGCGTTAATTAGCGGTACTACTAGAATAATACGACACACACTCTGTTCCCGCTGCCACTATAATCAGCCTAGACACAACAACAACGCGCAAAACAATATCGTCACTCGGAGCTTGGTTTCATGGGAAACACTGATTTTACACTGAACTCTAAATAAAAACGTCCTCCAAATATTGATCAAACACGTGACTTCCAACGCTCGTACGGCAAAACGCCAAAGAGGAGAGAGAGCTGCTGCTGATAATGCAAATTGAAAGGGAAAACTTGAATCTCTTTTCACAGAACTTTATCAGGGTCAATTTCCTTCCAGCACACAACACGAGTATGCACTCTGTTGCTCCAATTCGAACTTTCCGCTGAAAGTTACTGACAGCGATGAAGTATAAAATCAACTAAGTCGAACCACTGTCAAATCCATAAGTTTTTCCTTTCCCACCGAATCCGTCGTCGTCATCGGTTAGCGTCTAGTTCGAAGGTACTACCACCGCACGCACATAGCCCGGGTCACGCGAGATCAATCAAGCTGCAACGGTTCCGAAATTGAAAGTAAACTATCATTATCCTTACAATAATGATCGGAACGTCATCAAAATCGCGGCTTCGATCAGGTGAAGGTGGTGGGAGGTAAAATTGTCGAGAAATCACGTTTATAGAATTTGCACTCGCCACGCTGCGGTCAGAATAGATACTGATCGAACTGGAGGCCGATGCGAGGAAACTTATCTATCCGATGAAATCGAGAGTGATTTTGATAAATAAAAATCAACAACAATCCAAGCCGCCCCGTGCACGTGGTTAGGGCCCCAGCTAGCTATAGCAGCGAGAGAGTGCGAGAGAGCCTTCGCCCTCGGTTTCCTCCGCTATAGATAGAGCCCATTCGAAAAGTACACTGCTGCACAGTTGTTCTTTTAGCAAGGGTTGGAGAAATCGTCGAACGTCGCGCTTGTCTTAAGTGCACCCCACACGACAGAAGTTTCGTCTATATTTCCATCAATATTTTGCATGTCAATATTTTCATCAATATTTTCGTAGAGTGAGCAATACAAGGCTGCTCCTCACTAACATTGTTGTTTCCGATGGAATATTCCTCGTGTGATGCTTTTTTTTTTCTCTGTTCGGGACATAAAACTACTGCGACCAGTAATTTGATCTATTGTAGTATATCCCGTGTCCTTAGTTTAGTGCATGTCGTATTACTTCATCACTATTGAAAAATGATGAAGTATTCGGTTTTGATACAGTTGTCATTCTTGCCTTCATCGCAAGGAATCGATTCTAATTGAAAGGTTCCGCTATTTATACCCTTCGGAGTGTTGGAACACCCTCCAAAGGCGCGCCCCTTTGTCAGTCAAAATTGGATTCCTTAGCAACAAAATTAAGGAACGACACCGATAGTGACCATGCATCAGAACCCTAGTCTTAACCACTTCAAACTAGGGAACAACGAATAGAAGATTAGGAATCACATAGATGAAGACTAACTAACTCATTTTTTCCTTGTTTCAAGATCATCCTCGGTCCAGGCAACCCGAGGACTTATCACTATCAACAAGGCATAAAAAGTAACAAGGACTAAGACGTGTTCCTTTGATTACTGAAAAATCCTGTTCCCCTAGTTTGAAGTAGTCAAGACTAGGAATCGGTGGTAGATCTCACATCCCGTAACGTACCACGAAAAGGTGATCTACCCACGTTACGGGGCTCGTGTGATGCTTACTTTACGGAGCCGCACAGCGAAGTGGAATGCTTTAACGGTCAATGTTCGTGAATGACGGTTTCACTAGTGCAATTGCAAATGATAGCGTTATCATTTCCGATGATGTATCACTAATTGTATTTACAAGAGGATTCCATTTTTTGCAAGAAGTGGTGCATGTGGGCAGGAATTTTTCTAAGTACATATGTAAAAAAGTAATAATGTAACACGGTAGAGGAGATTTTTTATAAGGGTTAACGGCACCAATAGTGGGAGTACAAAGAAAAAAGTTCTTACCCATGCATGCTGAGAAAATCTTTACTAATGAATCAAATAATCAACTTTTCTTACTCAATGAAATGAAAACAGGTCAATTGAGCTTTGTTGAAAAACAATCTTGTTTATGCAAGTAAAAGAGATACCGTAAAACGGAAAACTGACGTGTTTTGAATTTGCTGCTTGCTTTTCCGTTATATTTATTGAAAATTTAGTTCAATAAGTCCTTTAGCTGGAGCATTTAGAACACCTAATAACTTTTTCAATAATTTCGCGTATGTTTATTAGTACTGTGTTTGGTTATTTAAAAAAAAAAACAATAGGATCGAAAGAGTTTTTAAGATTACCGCGAGTGAACAAACCTGGTTTTTTCTTCCTTCGCCACCGCGAAAAAGCAGATCTCCGCTGAATTTTCTAATGTACGCTGTTGAATCGTGTCCGTTTGGGTTTAGTTACAAGTGCATAAAGAGCCGGAAGCCGGAAATTACAAAATAAGTCCAGGAGGTAACGGTGATATCCAGTGGAAGTAGGTTAAGTAGGTTAATCGATCGTGCAAATTTTCTCCTGCAAAGTGCTGCTGTCTGCAAGCCAAAATGGGCGCGTATCTATCGGAACCACTCACAACGAAGGATTCGAGCGAGGAGGCAATTGATTTCCTTGCTTGCGGTTCCAGCTCGATGTAAGGCTGGCGGATCAGCCAGGAGTAGTAGTTTCTAGTGAAAGAAATGATCTCCATCACATCACTAAACATAACCACGAGCAATGACGAGGAACTGCATCCCAAACCCCATGATAAAGAAGGAGCGGATGCATCGAATGAAACTTTTAAGCACAAAATAATCATTACCAACATAGGAAAAATTCGGTAAGATCCTTCCATTGCGTTATTTTATGAGTCTTCAATATTGTACAAATATTAACACATTACACACAACTACACATAGTAACTCGGAGCGTTTGGTACGGTATGTCCACGCATCCTTCCACCCCTGTAGATGGTCGCATTCATTTTCAAGAATCATCTTTGCGGCAAATACAACGCAGTAGGCCTGGCCGTATTGATGTTTATATCATATCTCAGATATGCTGCAAACATCAATTAGACAAGAAAAATGATTAGACCTCATCAAACCTAATCATTTTCCAGGATGCTTTCTCGCACTGGCTGCGTTTGCATTAGATTAGATTAGATTAGATTAGAAGGGTTAACGGCACCAATAGTGGAGGTACTTTAGTGCAATGTGTTTCTATAGTGACTTATGGAGACTCCATAAGCCACTTTAGGAATGCATTGCACTAACGTACCTCCACTATTGGTGCGTTTACCCAACATGTTTAACTTTCTAATGATCTTCTCAATTAAAGTCTAGAATATACTGCCCTTTTCAGCATACTGAGAACAACAAAAGCTGATAAAAATGCTGCTGAAGGGTTTTTTTTATCTCTTTGAGCTTATGGGAATTGTTTTGATATTTTTCGTGACATTTTCTGAACAAAGTATGAAGTACTAATGGGACTGTTATGCCACACTGGGCAGTATACCTTTGGGGCGACTCTTTAACCACGTAGATACCTTAGGGGGTTAACAATTGTGTTATGGCAAATTTTAACATTATTTTTTCATTAATTCATTACTGGAGCTAGTGGTAATACAAAGTCAACTAGGATTCATGAAGCTGAGATCAAGAACTTTAATGTTGTGAAGGATTGATTTGCCGCTATATTCCCATATTGTATTGGACACTCGATTAGACAATAGTTTGAAAGCACTTTTTAAAGCAAATACAAATATGAAGAAACTATAAAATATCTTTTAATTTAACTTATTAACGGAATCCCTTTATGAAGAGCTTTTTGAGTGTGTTGATTTATTTCCTTTTGATTCCGTTATAATTGCTTATCTTTAGACATATACGTGCATTTCATCTACTACTTGCAGACTTCATCGGTGGCAAGTACTCAACACCACAGGTGGTAAAAAAGATAAGCTTATAATTGAATGGAAATAAATCGAAACACTCAAAAAGCTCTTCATATAAAAATATATAATTGTCGTTCTCTAATATGGAATAAGAATGGCAAGCAAATCCTTTACAGCTAAATAGTATTTGTTGACTTTGTATTTCCACATTCCCTTATTCTCATACTTTTCATATTCCCCCATTTTCAATGAACTCACCCATGAAATAAAGAAAAAAATAAATCTGAAATTTAACATAACCGTTTTAAACCCCAAAATAAACATATATTTTACATTAACTTTTGTTCATTAATTTCTCACAAATTACATATTTTGGACACATTTTTGAACTTTCAGAAAGTTTTATGGCTCCAGTAGCTAAGTTGCAATCTCTTTCTGTCGTAAAGTTAGATATGGTATTATTGAACATTTTTCAATTTTAAATGATTATATCTCGAAATGACAAAACAAAAAACGATCAAAAACCAAATGATACGTGGTGGCAACAATAATTACAATACACTCTTCGGTTTTGTTATGAAAAACTCCGTCTGCAACATAGCTCGCTGTGCCGGTGGAATGAAAAAGCAAAATGTTTTTGGAACACAGTATCTTGATTTCAAAATTTATCGACGTTGGTTGTAACTGGGATTGTACCATATGTGGAAAATATGATCTAGTTTTAAGGTTAATTAAATGTAAACCAAATGTGTCTTTATTATTGACAAAATTTCAATTCAAAAGATCATAACTAAATTGAAGGCCAGCTTTTAAACATAATGTTTTTTTTTTCTAGATGGCATGACATGTGAATACTGCTTAATTTTTTTGTGCTTAGCCTCTAATCTAGAACACATTAGTTTACAATTCGAACCACTGTTTTCTATTACGCTTCCGTAGTGGATAATGGAGGTGTTTTGTTTTGAGTTTATCATCATGAAAGCATTTAAGGTACAACTTGCGGTGGCTCGTTACAAGTTTTCTTAACTTTCCAATATCTTGTAAGGAAAATGATGGCATCAGAGTGTGATCTACCAGATACGAATGGATCAGCAATAAACGTAAAATAATGACAAAGTGCTTGCATTTCAGCAGCTGTAGTTCTTAGTTTTATAAATTTCGACTTATTCTCATAACAGTCTTCTATATGAGGAATTCTTGCCAATGATTCATTTAGCACATGCTTAGCTATCATGTTGAATTCATTCAACTTGAAATATTTTTTTCTTATACATACATAGGGGAAATGACGGCTTTGGCATGACAGACTATTTTCGGCAACCTAAATTGAAACACTATTTTCACTGGATTTTCGTACGAAAACACTTCGCTGAATGCATGCAAACGATTCTTTGTGCTTTCAACTTCAATTTGACTATATTTTTACCACTGAGAAAAAGCAATCTAGCAAGGTTTTCTTAAAATGCAACACACGCACTACAAATTGTAGCTGATTTCGAGTTGCCGATAATAGAACAGCAGATTTACATGCAGTTCAAATGGAACGGTTGCCGAAGAAAAACTGGTTGCCGACAATACTCGCTCTCACTAGAGAAGATTGGAGCTTTGTAAAAGCGTTTCAAAACAGTTTTTGACAATTCTTTCGATTGAAATTGTTAGAGAAGCTGGTAGCAAAAGATTGTAAACAAGCCAATACTGCATATGTGTGCGTTCCTTAGAGAAAAAGGCTATAGAAAGATGGTCGCTGCTTAGGTTGCCGAGAATACGTAAATTCC